GCAGTGTCAGGTGCCCCGGAGGCTTTTTTGCTGAGCCGGCTGCAGAGGTTTCAGAAGTGGATTTCTGATTTCAGAGGTCGACTTCTAGAAATTTTCCATTCCTCTCCTAGCCTGTTAGTGGGTAGAAGGAACTTTACCCAAGATTGAAAGGCCTCTGGGAGATGCTTTAGCCAGCAAACAGGTTGAAGGAAAAAGCTGCTGGGTCTCATGTCCCAGCGCTCCCTGAGGATGTGCTCCAGCATGTCCATCACCCACCCACAACCCTCAGCCAGGGGCAGAGCCCAGCTCTGCCTGCCACGCTGCAAACTCTCCTGGCCAAAGGAATGCCAGTCAGATGGGACTGGAATGGGACAAAGGACACGTGCCCGAGCCAGTAAGAGCCCCCAGAGTCCTGCCCATTGCACACTGAGACCCTGCCCAGCCTGGTGAATGTTTCAGCTCTCTCCCTTGCCTTCCCAGACTCCACCAACGTGGCTTTCACCATCACCATGCTGCTGGCCAGCCTCAGCAGCTGCTGCAACCCCTGGATTTACATGTTCTTCAGCGGGCACCTGCTCCAGGATGCAGCACGTTGCTTGTCCTGCTGGGGCAGCCCCCGGCCCAAGCTGCAGAGACAAGCCTCCACCGGGAGCCTCTGCAGCAGGAAAACCACCATCCTGAGCCACAGCCACCACACCAGCCCCACCAGCCTCCCGCTACATGGAGGCAGCACCAAGGACTTCTACCCACCCTGCGAGGAGGTGGTGACTGAGTCGGGCACGCTCTAGGCTGCACGTGTCCCCAGGCACATCCCTCCACTGAGGACAGCTGCCTCATCTCCAGCTCCTCAAACACACCTCTCCTGTCCCTTAACAACGTTTCCCAGAGAGTGTTTCGGTTTTTGAACATTTTCCTTCATGTGCCCTTCAAGTCAGGCCAGATCTGCACAACAAGGTCATAAAACCAGGAGTGCCCGACCCACCCCTGGATCAATACCAAATCAATTGTCTCACAACCTTTCATTAACACACATCACTGCTGAGCCAATCTGAAATGCACTTGGGGCAGCTCCATCCCTGATGGAGGGGGGCTGTGCTGGGAGGCAGGGCTGGCCGGGCATCGGCTCTGCGAGACCTCAGGAGCATGAAGGTGACCTGACAAACACAAGCACTGCCAAGCAGGGGCAGCAGCCCTTCTGAGAAGATAACAGCCTTCCCAGCACAGCCAGTTCCCAATCCCAGGCTTATCTCTGCAAGCTGGAGAGCCCCCCGCCCCCTCAATTTTGTTGGAAAAAATTGCTATGCTGTACTCCAAGTGCTCTGGGAATTAAACCAATACCTATGGAAAATGTGAAATGTGATGTCAGACCACAGCAGGAGCGGTGGCATGGGTCCAGCCGAGGGCACCAACCCCCACTCTGCATCACACAAGTGGGGAGAGGCCAAGTCCTGCACCTGGGGCATTTGGTGCAGGGACAAAGCAGGAAAAGCAAAAGGTGGGAGACAGGGAATATCATCCCTCCCCACAAGACACAGAGGGATTTGACTCACCTGTGCTCACACAGAGACCTGTGGTCTAGTCCTGTACCCCTCAGCCCAGCAGGACCAACAGCCAGCCCAGCTCCTGTACCTGGGGAGGGGGGATATAAATCCCCTGGGAAGCCCTGGGCCATTTGCCAGCTGGGCTGATGCCTACAGCTTTCACCTGGGGAGGAAGTTCCCGGGCAGGGCCACCCTCCTTCCCTGGCCCTGGCATCCCCCTCGATGCACAGCCAGGGTCACACCACCCGCACGGCCACCCCAGCCCCTGCGACAGCTCTGGGACGACGGGGACTTGGAAAGATTTTGAGCATTAGAGGAAAAGGGGCGCAGGGGGAGGGGGTGAATCAGGGCTTGTCGGGCAGCCAGGCCAAGGCAGAAGGAGGAACTGTATTTAAAAGGATTTTATGCCAGCAATCAGCAAAGAAAGCACGGTTCAGAGGAGATGCCAGCCAGTTCGGATGGGTGTTCTGAAGATCACTGCACTTCCCTCACCAAACTACATCCTGTTTTGAGGGGCAGGGGGAGATGTTTCACTTGCTTTCATAAAATGAGAAAAAGGGCCATCACACAAAACTGGAGAGCACATTTCAGCCTGGGTAGGAGGAAGGCTTCCCCGTGTCGTCCCACGCTCGGCAGCCTCCAGGAACAGTGATGCATTTAAGTAAAATACCAAGCAAATTATATTGGTTGGTTATTATAAGGAATAAAAACTGGCAGGCATCAGCCTGTGCCAGGAGCTGACCGAGGGGAAGGGGAAGTCGGGCACTTCAGGCATCTCCTCGTCCTGGCAGCGGTCTGACCCGAAACCCCGTCAGCAGCATCCCCGGGAGTCACAGCTTCACCTCGGTGTACTCGATGGACTTGGAAGTCACGGGGCTGGAGCAGGGCCAGAAATCTGCTTTCCTCTTCTTGGGGTCCACGTTGACATAGTCTGCTCCAGCCTTGGTGTTCTCGTAGTCCCCGGCGGATCCTGGCCCACGGCCTTTCCCCGGGAAGATCAGGGATGTGTAATTGAGGTTTTCTCCCGAGTGAGGGCCCTGCAGCAGCAGACATGAACCCCACGTTGGGCACCAGCATCCACCCGGTGTGGCTTTGCCCTTGAACCCACGAGAAGGCGTGCAGTGATCGAGGTGCCCGGGGAGCTCCCTGACCCGTGGGGATGCTTCCCTCTAAACGGGGAACGCTGGGTACGGCAGGTGACAGCAACCACCCAGCCCCATTCCAGCATGGTTCAATGCTTTTGCCCCCCCGTTGCCACTCTGGGGGTCTCCAGGCTGCTTTTGGCAAAGGCTCTCTGCCCACGGCCATACCTGTGCACGGGAAGGGCTGCTGCCCGAGTCCTCCGAGGTCTCCGAAGACGTGTCGCTGCTCCCTTAAAAACAGGAAACGTTACCACCTCCGTCACTACTTGGGGGGGTTAAAGGAAAAAAAAATAATCAGAGAGAAAAAGCAAACGCAGAGAGAGAAAACTGAAAATCCGAAAGGCAGCAGTGTGATCCCTGCCCTCCTCACCCACCTGCCCGTGGGGAACCGGGCTGGGAAAGCCCAGAGGAGGCAGGAGACCGGAATTGCGAGCGGCTGTTGCGCCTGCCCTTCGCCCGGCCGCTCGCTCCTCTCCCAGCCCAGGGCTGAGGGTCTTCGCAGCTGGCTGAGGAGGAGGGCATTGCACAAACGCAATGCCACAGTTACATTCACATGCCAGGGTAAAGCCCCGTTGCTGTAGGATTGCCCCTTACCCACGTAGGTCGGTCTTCGCGCCCCTTCCCGTCCCGCCGAGGAGGTGGGAGGCTGCTGGGGCTGCGCTGCGGGGCGGCTGGCCGGCGTGCCGC